ACTAGATAGATCCAATCCTGTAAGCATAGAAAGGTTTCTTATGGAGGGACGGAGGGATCCTGCGAAGTGGTTTCCAAATAGATATAAATAAGTAAGCTTGAGAAGGTTTCCTATGGAGGGAGGGAGGAATCCTGTGAAGTGGTTTCCAAATAGATGTAAACAAGTCAGCTTAAAAATGTTTTCCATGAAGGGAGGGAACGATCCCGTGAGATTGTTGTCACTTAGCAATAAGTAAGTTAGCTTGGAAAGGTTTCTATGGAGGGAAGGAGGGATCCTGTGAAGTGGTTTCCAAATAGATATAAGTCAGTTAGCTTGAAAAGATTTTTTATGGAGGGAGGGAGGGATCTCGTGAGACTATTGTTACTTAGTAATAATTGAGTTAGCTTGGAAAGGTTTCCTAGGGAGGGAGGGAGGGATCCCGTGAGACTGTTGTCACTTAATAATAATTGAGTTAGCTTGGAAAGGTTTCTTATGGAGGAAGGGAGGGATCCTGTGAAGTGGTTTTCAAATAGACATAAGTAAGTCAGCTTGGAAAGGTTTCCTATGGAGGGAGGGAGGGATCCCTTGAGATTATTGCGACAGAGTTGAAGTTCCTGAAGCCTCGTCAGATTCTGAAGTTTAGCAGGAATGGGCCCTTGAAAGTAATTAACACTAAGGTCGAGGACTTGGAGGTTTTTCAGACTAGAAACCTTTTGAATGGGGATTCCACCACTTAATTTATTTTCAGACAAATCAAGAAGTACTAATTTTTTGCACCGGGAAACAAAGGCTGGGAAATCTATCAAAGCATTGTGATATAGGTAGAGGTGAGTAACAGACTCCATACCTGTAAACCTTGACCAGTCAGTAGAGTTCAAATTGTTCCTACCAAGGTCTAAATGCCATACCTTTTGCAGATTACCCAGCTGATAAGGGATGGGGCCACTAAGATCATTTCCACTTAGAGAAATGAAGCGAAGCTCAGTGAGATTGCCAATCTCCTCAGGTACCGACCCCATAAACTGATTGTCTCCCAAATCCAAGAAACCGAGTTTCGAAAGGGAGCCAATACTTTTGGGGATTTTCCCTTCTAAATGGTTCATGCTGAGATTTAGACCAGTCAAATGGGGCAAGGAGAAGAAGTTCAGTTGATTGAGGGTCCCTTCGAAATAGAAATTTGAGAGGTTAATCTCAATCACGTTTCTGCCATCATTGCATTTAATTCCAATCCAGCTACAATGGTTGGTTGAGTTGCTGGTTCTAAGAAACCATGAAACCAAAGTGTGATTTTTCAGACTAGTTTTCCAGTTCAGCAATGCTTCAGCTTCTAAATCAACCGTTGACAAACCAGAGGATTGAATCGGAAGAGCTAAAATGAAGGGGAGGAAGTCGAAAAAAGATGGAGATCTCACCACCATTCCCATTTTCATGGCATGCAAAACTTCACTCGATTTTGCTTTACGAATGCTGCAATGAACAGACATTAACTATTTAGTAACTTCGTACGTATTTATAATTCAAATATTTAGAATCTCTCAGTGGATTATGTAAAGGGTGGAGTTAGCGAGAGGCCGGTGCATTATGTAAAAATGTAGTTTTGGCTCTAGAAACCGACCCCTACATGGCTCGATAATTTATTTCCGACGATGGGCGATAATTTATTTCCGATGATGCGTTACTGTTGTAATACTTAAAAACAATGTTCGCAAAATAGGGCGATCTAATTGCCTGGTTAGACCGGAACCTTCCATAGGCCGGTTCCGGTTTTGCATAGTTTTGTTGATCAATCGGTATAATAAAAAAAAATTTAAAAAATACGTAATTTTTTTAAAAAAATAAAGAAATTGATTTTTAATGTATTTTTTAATATTCTTTACATTATGGTAAAGATTAAAAATTATTTTGTTCATTAATACTCACTTTTATATTTTCCAATCTTTTTCATAAAATTCTAAAAATAATCCTAGGCACAAATCAATTTGTTAAAATCCATTTTTTTAGTAATTTTCATCTTCATTGGAATGTGTTTAGTAGATTTTAATTTTCATCTTCATTTGAATGTATTTTAATCATTCTTTATATGCTTTTCATATTTTAGTAGAGTATTTTTTGTATCTTTTTTTTTACTTCTTTAGACGATTTTTTGGCCGCTCGATACTTGTCTGGTTAGTGCGGTTGAATTGGGCCGGTTTACTGGTTAGACCAGTTAAACCGCTTCCACGCCTATATCTTGTTAACCGTTCCGGTTCGATTTTGCCAACAAGACTTGAAAATGAATGGTCTTCATAATGTGCTATATTATTTTTAGAGCTTGAAATCGAAATTCATAAGAGTTTTTGGGTTGAAACGATCGATTAAATGGTTCTTCTAATCCTAGTAACTATATTTTTTTAATAAGTTTTGGGGTGATAAGTTTTTTGAGGTACGACTTTACTTTTAAAGGTGAAGCCTAAGCCCTAAATAAATCTTTTCCTTGTGTAATTGTACTCTATTAATGAAAAATATGGTAGTCTTTCTCTCTTCTCCTCAACTCAATTGGAGAGGAACTAGTGTTCTCTCATTTCGTTTCTTAAAATTTTCCATTCGTTTTAATATTGTAAACAGTGTTGGAAAACCTGGATTGACCGGGCAGATCTGTCACCGGAAAACTGATCCGCTTTGCTGATTTGGGTTTTCAAACACCATTATAAACACTGAATGCTAGTTTAGGGAACCGTTAAAAATGATCCAACTTTCCCATCTAAGAAAGCATGGTCAGTTTTATCGAGTCTCTTAGCCCATCTATCGAGTTCCTAGATTTTTCATCGATTCGGAAGGTGATTGTGTATTTGGCTCGATCCAACTCGGTTGCGATAGTTCATATGGATTCACCGGCAATTTTGATTTGTAGGGGTTCTCGAGCTACGGACATGGCCATAAAGTCATCTATTATTATACTAATTTGTGCTACAGGGGCAACCAATCAAGCTATGGTTAGGTTTTATATTTCATTTTCAACATATCTATAATTGTTATTACTTTAAATATAAACAAAAATTATATACATGTATATTGAAAGTTTGAGGTCAGTATTCTAGGTGACCATTATAGTCGCCATCCAATTGCATATATTGAATTGGGGTTGATCGATCTAATGATCATGATTGTATTTTGTATTTGAATTTTAATATTTATATAAATTAAATTCACTTGAAATTTTGAGTGTGTACTTTAGAAAAATTGACGAATTTAATAAACATATTAAAAGAATAATTTATAAAAGATAGACCAAAATACCTCTGAAAATTACAGGGATATTTTGATCAATTTAGCTCTTGTGAATAATTTTTTTAATTTTTTTTATTTAATGTGTCTTGATGAGAAGAGCGGACGATACAAATTTCAAGTGATTTATATTTGTAGAAAAAAATTCAAATATGAAATACAATTTAGATCAGCTCATATTCAATCTGAACCGTTGGGCTTATACTATTTCATCAACTAGTGGGCTAACAAGATCATTTCCCATATAAAGAATTCATGCGTGAGGGGACACACTTCTATGATGGATGGTGTCCCTTGAAGTGTTCAACATCCATCTTGTTAGTGGATGATAAAATTGATATTGTTAAAATAATATTAGAAAGAAAAAAATCTCCTTTTTTATTTTTAGGGTTTCTTTTTTTCTTTATCCAAATTTCTACTTATCATATTTTCATTTCCTAAATGTTAATTCCTAAGAATGGACTCAAGTATTGGTGGTCACGGTAAAAGATGTCAATATGATATCTTGAGTTCACCCTTCCCCCAGACATATACCCAAAATATAAAAATAAAAATTTAAAATTCAAAATCCATCTCTAGATTTTAGAGAGAACTCATTTAAATAAGGATGCGGTTAGCATGCGGTAAGCCCGCACATGTAGAAATGCAGGCTTGGTAATAAATACGTTTTTTAAATATAATTTGATTCAAATTTATAATATTTAATATCATGAATATGAAAAAATGAATAAATTTTGAAAACTAAAAATAATAAGTAACCATGTGATTGAAATCCAACTTTAAGTAATAATCATAAATATAGAGAGAGAAAGAGAGAGAAGGAGGGG